TGTGTGTGTGTGTGTGTGTGTGTGTGTGTGTGTGTGTGTGTGTGTGTCACTGTTGATGACCTTGTCAGAACAGTAATGGGTTTAGTTTCTGTCTCAGCCCTCAGGGTCTCAGCTTATCAACTCCTGACTGTCACACTACAACTCCATGTGAGACTGTATCTCTACAGAACTCCATGTAAGACTCTATATCTCTGGATATATGTATACATATTATATCTGTATGTTTACGGAACTCCACGTCTGCACATACTGTATTTCTATAGAAGTGTTTAATGATTTTACATGTTTCTAAATGTTTCTAGAGATGTGTCTACATATCTCTATAGAAATATATACAGATGTGTATATGTATCTCTTTAGAATTCCAGATGTTTATATGTATCTCTTTATAATTCCAGATGTGTATGTATCTCTTTAGAATTCCAGATGTGAATATGAATTTCTAAAGAACTCCAGATGTGTATATGTATTTCTAAAGAACTCCGGATGTATATATGTATTTCTAAAGAACTCCGGATGTATATACATATTTCTAAAGAACTCCAGATGTGTATATCTATTTGTAAGGAACTCCAGATGTGTATATGAATTTCTAAGGAACTACAGATGTAAATATGTAGTTCTAAAGAACTCCAGATGTGTATATGTATCTCTAAAGAACTCCAGATGTATATATGTTTCAAAAGACATCACGAACTCCAGATGTGTCTAAATATCTCTTTTGAATTCCAGATATGTTATGTATCTCTATATAATTCTAGATGTATTATGTGTTACAGAACCTCAGATGTGTCCATGTATCTCTCCACAATTCCAGATGTGGTAAGGTTTTCATCCATCCAGCACCAGCACAGATTTATCGCCTGTGTAGAACACTAAGCTAACCAGGAAATCAGCGTTTTTTTGTTTTTTTTGGAAGTGGAATTAAATGAATGAACTTTTTTAAATTGCTTTATCAAATAAGGGAAAACAATGTAGCAGCCCCCTATCAGACAGAATTATTATTCAAAGAATATAACTTTTTTTATATCTCAGAATATGTCTGGAGGGGAATCCTGTCAAGTAGACTGAGCCAGCAGCAGAACCTTTATCCAGCTGATAGTTTGGTTCCTTTGCTGCTCCGTGTAAACATGGGACGTTATAATCTGTTTCAGCAGACTGCAAAAGCTGTTTCTTTATGAATCTCGACGTGCATTTGTGTGTTTGTTTCTGCGTGGCTAAAGACGCCTTTGTCCCAATGTGTTTTACTTTCTCTCTACATCCCACGCCTCTCCCTCTGTCTTCTCCTTGCTATCCCCATGCCCTCCTTCTCTCCCTGCTGTCATTCCCTCCTCTTCCCATGAGCTATCATTAAGGTCCATCAAATCTCTTCGCTCCCCCTGCTGTTTCTCTCTTTTTAGGATCCATACCCGACCTTCATCTCCCCTATCTCGCTCTCGCTCTTCATCGCTCCTCCCGTCCTCATTTTCAAGAAAACTCGATCAAAGACAACAAGAGCGAGTTGGAAATAATCTTTTGTTGAAAAGTTTATAATCACATCCCGTAATGAAGGTTAAGAAAATCACATCGTGAGGGTAGGAGGAACCTCAGAAACGTAGCATATTTATGAGCTCAATAAAGGATTTATGTCCGCCACGGGCTGCATGAGTGAGCAGAGGAGGGTCGGCTGTTTAATTCATAAGATGAAACTTGGCTGAGAGTTGGATGTGTTTCATTTATCTCACTTTTGCAGCCCATAGTCGGCAGGAAAAGCTAATGAGTCCCTCACTCACAGACACACAAACGCATCCCCTACAGTCATGGCAATGGGTGTGAGCCACACACCTAGTTCATACATGTTACACACACACACACACACACACACACACATACACACACACAAATGGCTGGGACAGATGTTTTTACTCTGGATGAAGATTTCAGGACTCGGCACTGTTGGATGCAGATTGAGGCCCAAGTGCCGGACTATCTCTTTAAAATCGTTTCTCATGAATCAACTACAAGTACAAACTTCCTCATGAAGGAGGATGATGGCTAAGCTATCATTCCCTGATGGACAACACCTCCCACCCCATGTGGGACGCCCTGGCAGCTCTGTGCAGCTCCTTCAGCCACCGGTTGATTCACATCCGGGGTGTGAAGTAGAGGTACCGCAGGTCCTTCCTTCCTGCCGCTGTCAGGCTCTACAACCAGCTGTGCTCCCAGTAGACCACACAACACAACACAAAAATCTGTGCTATATATAAATACACCGTGCAATAAAAAATTATTCTGTCTGTATGTATAATATTTTTTGTTATATTTTAACTATTGTGGATTTTTAATTTTGACTTATTACATATTCTTTAGTGTTTGTTACTTATTTACTTATTTAGATCTTGTTTTGACTATGTCTCTTGTTTGCACTATCCACTGTATGCTGCTGTAATCCTGTACATTTTCCTGCTGCGGGACTAATAAAGGATTATTTTATTTAATCTTATTTTATGAATATCTTGAGTGAGATTGCAGATTATGTCCCCAAAACCAAGACATTTAGCCTATATTTCGGAAACCAGCTGCCTCTCCTGCTATAGTCGCTATTACTGCTGCTGCTACTAGTCTACGACTTGTGCTGCTAGTACCGCTAGTACCGCGACTATGGCCAGTGCTGCTACATGAGTTACTCAAAACGGTAGTAACACTGCTACTGTTACAAATATGGACAGCATGACCAGCTAAAACTAATGTGTTGCTAACACATTAACTAACACTGCAGCTACTTTTTTAGCTCAGTGTGTGTGTGTGTGTGTGTGTGTGTGTGTGTGTGTGTGTGTGTGTGTGTGTGTGTGTGTGTTGCGATGGTCACGTTATTTACATACATAGCTGCAGTGTGGTGCAAGCCCACACTTCTGTAAGAGCTAGCTGAAATAGACTAAAATAGACTTAAATGAACTAGTTCATGTTCATTTATCGTTTCTTTTAACTGGTCGGATGCTATGGTGTTAAATATAAAGAAAAAACTAAGTAAAAATGTAATATATATATATACACATATGTTTACTTCTCATGAAAGAATTAGAATTAAAAATGTTCTGCATATACAGTACATTAATTATATTCCTGCTTACATTCAGTTAATTAAAACAATTGTTTACTACAAATTCATATTATTACTATATTTTATATGTGATGCATGTTCATGCGGTTAACACTACATCTGGAATGCTGAGCTCTCTGGTCCAGTTGATGTGAGACTTTGGAGGCTTGGGTGGAGTGGACGGCAGCTGATGTCTCCTCTCCTTTTACTGCACTAGACATCCACGTATGCAAACCACACCGAGCGTCAGCATTGGTTGCAAACGGATAAATATTCAGTTCACCGAAAACACGAGCAAGTGTAATGTGATTCGTGTTAGTATTGATATTTCTATTGATGATCTATAATATGACGCTGTTTACACTTGGTTTTAAAATTGGGTTTTAGGCGACCTGATCACGAGTGGACAGCTCTAAAAACAAATGCATCTGATCTGGTCGCCCCTTGAAGGTGGTCTTTGACTTATTTCACAACATGTCTTTTCTTGTGTAAACGCTAACGCATCCTGATACGTCCCTGACAACAGAAAATACGTCATTAAAGCCACATTTTGTTCCTCATCTCCAGTTGGTTCTCAAATCGCATTCCCTGGCTGTGTCCACGGCTCTAGCGATAGTCCCAAGGAATAGTCCCAGTCTGTTTAGTTTTATTTCTTCTTCTTCCTCTTCTTTTAATTCGCAGGCTAGACACAGGAGGTGAATCGCTGCCTCCAGGTAGTTAAAGACAACAACGCATTTGGTCTTTGCAGACAAATCATGCACACGTTTCTTTGCAAGAGCAGAGAAGCGAGATGCGATCACGTGATCACAGGTGTAAACAGCACCAATACTCTACTACTGTCACTACTTCTAATAGTAGTACTGTGGTCGCATCACCGTCATACTCACAGCAGTCACAGCACTTTGCACTCTGGGTATTTTCATATACTGACTCTGACATAATCATCTGACTGATATGTAACCTGTTCTCATATCTGCTCCTCACATATCATATCATATTGTGTATGAACACAGCAACAGTGTGCTGTAAACACAGGATTACTGTGATTATCAGTGTGTGTGATTGTACCTGTCAGGGATCGAGTGACAGCACTCTCATACAGAGGGACACCCTCGCCTGCGTTATTGAATGCCTTCAGGGAAATCACATAGTGCGAGCTCGGCTCTGAGAGAGAGAGAGAGAGAGAGAGAGAGAGAGAGAGAGAGAGAGAGAGAGAGAGAGAGAGAGAGAGAGAGAGAGAGAGAGAGAGAGAGAGAGAGAGAGAGAGAGAGAGAGAGAGAGAGAGAGAGAGAGAGAGAGAGAGAGAGAGAGAGAGAGAGAGTGAGAGAGAGAGAGAGAGAGAGAGAGAGAGAGAGGGAGAGAGAGAGAGAGACATAGAGAGAGGGAGAG